CAGGATGAACGGAGAAGCGGTGCCCCGATGCGCACCCGGGATCCGAACCCGGGCCACCAGCATCGCAGCGCGCGCACTTAACCACCAAGCCACAGGGCCGGCCTACCTTTTACATTTCAAGTGTAAAGCTGATTAGCTGTTTCCTCTGACTCTCATTTACTGAATCATCAGGGTAACATGATTATTCTTTTTCCAATCAACAAATATTTTTTGAGCACCCCACACTTGAAAGTCTTGAGGTGAGGTGCTAGAGAGTGTATGTATTTCAATAAGACATCTTCCCTGCTAATCAAGGATCTTATAATTTCCTGGATGGAAGTACACATGGATAACACAACTCTGGGGGGTTTCCAAAAGAAAAGTACAAAGATGTCTCATCGTGAATAAGAGAACTGTTGCACTGAGTTGTGAGAGACTAGGAATGAGGATGGATTAAAGAGGGAAGTTTTAAGCTTGTCCTTAGAAAGAAAGGACTAATTTGTAGATGGAGATGGGGTTTCTTTCTTGAGGTCCCCCAGATTTTAATCTGTCCTGCAATTTGTAACATCTACCTGCTATTATTTTCTCATGGTGACTTAGGTGGGAAATATGTAGAGAGTATAATCATTTTTCATTCTTTGCTGCTAGGTATTGACTCATTGGCTCCCCATCTGCTGCTTGTCTCCTCTCACGCAATAATGTCACTTGGGATTAGGAGACACCTCTTTGTGAGAGTCAGTTGAAATATTTTTCCCCATAATTCCTTCCATTTGATCCATATTTGCCCCTGGAGTTACAGAGAAGAAATCCAATCCATGTCGTACCGAGTTGTCTCTCAGATATTTGAAAACTGGAGTCATGTCCTGCATGGTTCTTCTGGTGATTCTCTATTTTAGAGGTAATTTATCTGAAACTGTGGACTTGAACTCAGATACAATTGCCCTACTTTCCTGTTTTGATAGTAAACTCTTTCCAGTATAAAGATCATTCTCCTAGTGACTAAACTTAAAAGACATTAGAGAAAATTAAATTTGTCTCTGCCATCTCTTAATAGTACATTACAATCCCAGGAAGTGGATTGCTTTCTTCCTTATTACTCTTACTCTGAATGATGAAAGAAGGTCATATAATTCTTAGCAATTGCCTCAAGCCTCTGGTCATTCTGCAGAATGGTTATTCTGGTTATTCTTGGTCATTCTGTTTATTCTTCCTTCAAATTCTTCCAGTATCATGCCCTAGTTGTATTTGTTCTTCATTAGTTGACCGTCCATTCTTGTCAATTGCATATTGTAAAGTGAACTCAAAACACTGAGGAACATGGAAGAATGACTGATTACAAATTGGTAAAGTGTTAAGGCTGTGAAGAATTCAGTATCACATGCAGAGTTGTTGCCAGTAAAACTGCACAGAAACTTCTGGAAGGCTAACGAACAATATATACCAAAGCCTTAATGCAAATACCCTTTGACCTAGCAATTCTATTTCCCAGAATTTATCCCAAGAAAATAATCATGGAATTTTCCCATAATTTTGGTCCCAAGACACACAATGCAACAATACTTATGACGGTGGCAAATGTTAAAAATTGAAATGTTCAGCATGGTTTGAAAATAACTATTGGAAGAAATAAGGCTTATTAAAAATGGGTATGAAGAGTATTCTTAACAATTAAATTGTTAAGAATAGTTATTTTGGGACAACTATCATTTCTTCTTTTTATTTGTCCATATTTTATCAATTTCCTACAATGAATGTGCTCATTGTATTCACAAGTATTCACCAGAAGAAGCTAACATTGGCTTTTAAAGATTCAAAGAAATGAATGAGAATGGGCCGGCCCCGTGGCTTGGTGGTTAAGTGAGTGCGCTCCACTGCTGGCGACCCGGGTTCGGATCCCGGGCGCGCACCGACGCGCTGCTTCTCCGGCCATGCTGAGGCCGTGTCCCACATACAGCAACTAGAAGGATGTGCAGCTATGACACACAACTATCTACTGGGGCTTTGGGGGGA